TGTTTGGTTTTTTTTTTTTGGTCTTTGTTTTTTGTTGTTTTGTTTTGCTTTGTTTTTTCCCCAGCAAAATATTTGGTATGTATTTCTAGAATACAGAAACAAAAATTTAACAGTCTGTAGTCATATATATTTTATATAGATCGTATTTGCATTCATATCAAATATTCAGTCTTCCAACTACTGAGATGTTTTATACTTTTATTTGCTCTACTTAAATGAATACCTTGTGAATCATTCATACAAAACAGAAAAAAAATATTTTTCTGAATTAAAATTTCATCTGTACAGATTATGCTGTTAGATCAAACGTAATTAGCTTGTTAAATATATTAGTGCTGCTAATTTTTCTTCTCTCTTTCTTACCCTTCCTCTTCATTCTCTTAACAGACCATCCTGTTTTCTTACCAGATCATGCTGATACAAAGGGTTTCAGTTCTGTACCTGATCTTTGCATTTGCAGATACTTTACAGTTTTCAAATCTTACTGAAGCTTTTTTCATATTCTACTCTGGGAATGCCTTATTTAATCATTCCATGTTCTCAGCACACAACCTGAATTATTCCTGCTTTTGTTATGTAAAGACAAGGGTAGATCAGATGGTGAACAATCACAAATAAAATGAAAAAGGCAGCTGAAGGTCACAATAAATGTTTAATCTGTATTGCTAAAATAGATTGAAAAACAGTTGAGGAGAAGAGGAAGTATAGGACTCAAAAGTATAACTTCTGTGAGCAGCCTATGAAACTGCCATTCATCTGGCTAATCTGCTGTCCACTGTGAGAGAGTGAAGATTTTACTACTGAAGCCTTTAAGAACGTTTAGTACTACTGATAAACCATTTTAACAACTTACTAAAGTGATTGGAACCTTGGATTAGGACAATGAAGTTATAAAAAAAAAGTTTGTATAATTCTGGCAAAGAAAGCATTTGATATTTCCTAACTTCCATGCTATAAAAAGGGTCTTAGTAGTTATCTTACCTCTAAAAAAGTAAGAATTGACTTCCAGTGTGTGAATTAAACATCTTTACTTACATCTGTGAAGTAGGAGAGACAGATCTGTAATCTGAAAATGTGAAGTGGATCCCAAGAGACTCATCTCAGCATTATCTTGTCCCCTTGCAATGTTCAAGATTTTTGCAAACTCAGTTAATTTTCCGGTCCTCCAGTATATTCCATTTTTTTTTCTGTTGATTTCTCAAAAAGTCTTCTCTTTGGAATTGTCCTCAGTAAGCTTTAACTACTTCGTTGGATGATGTTGTGTACCATCTGCTACCTTAAGTACTAGAACAGAGGGCAGTGTGTTGTCATGCATTAAGATTGTTGACTTCAAAGTTTGGCACTTCCTCTAATCTTACTTGAATTTTATACCTGATTTGCACAGAGGTGGTAACCTGTGCACAGTGATGGACTGCACTTTTCCACCAGTGTAATGAAAACATCTACACAAAACATATCAACAGTGTTGTAGAAGGTTGAAGTTGATGTTCTCAAACTCTCTCAAATTATTATTTTTTTTTTTAAAAATCAGGTGAATAGCTGAGAAATTTTGGGTGAGCTTATAGCTGTAGTACTGCTACATACCTCAGGTAGATTAAGTTTGGTTTATCCCTGATGTTTGTTTAATTCTCTGTATTGTCAGCAAAGCTAAGCAGGTTGCTCATAGTTTTATTACACACTGCTGCTTCTGTTTCCACAGTATGTTTGCCATCCTGAATTTTAAGACTCTGAGTTTTGCTCTGTTGCACCCTGCTTGCTAAAAATTAGTTACCTCTACTCCTTCCATAACACTGAAAATTCATATATACAACATGACTTCATGTGCTATAAAGACTAGTATGTATTCTTTCTGTGTGTGCCCTTCACTGAAAAGCCACAAAACTATATAACGTGGCAGTTAGTTCCCCAGTCATCTTCGGAAGACCACACTCACCTAGAAAATGAACACAAAATCTCAAACTGTGGGAACAGAAGAAGTAGAACAGTCATGCTTATGGAATACATTGGCCCTAATTTCCTCTTCAGCTTTTGTTACCTCGAGTTTTCTGGATTGAGCATAATATTGAGACTGGATTTAACTTTTAGAAATGGTGAAATGCACCTTTTTATGTCTTTCCATTCACCTTGCTGCTGTAAGCACTGGCCTTTCCTTACAAAATTAAAGCATCCTTTATCTGCAAGTAATGCAGTTGAGCAGAAATACAGGGTTGGCATTGGCAAGCCATAGCTGAAATTCTATGGAAGATCAATAAAATCAACATGAAGTTTAATTCCAGAGTAGTGAGAAAATCTGGGTATGAATTCACTGTTAAGGTCTTGGCTACTTAGTAGCTTTAAAAGTAGCCAGGGAGGCAAGAGTTTGTCCAGTGATGGTTGAATGTTATGCATTCAGTAAGCAGCTATTTTATGGAGCAAGTTTTAAATTATGTTTTATGAGAAAAAGTTCTTGAAGGTTTATTGAAACAGCATAACTAATTTTACACACATTATTTGGAGAGCATCATTATGGCAGCAATGAATGAACAAAATTTGCTTTTCCAGGGGAAAAGTAGAGATAAGAGGTTACAATTACAATGACAAGCAATGGAGATGATTTGAAGAGAATGTACTCAAAGTACATTTCTGAAGTTTCTATATTTTACGTGTGTGAACTGTGGAAGTACTTACTGAGCTTGCCTCTTTTCCATAATTGGAAGTAGGTTACATTGCTTTTAGTTGATAAGCCATTAGCTATTAGTATGGTGCTAAATTTGCCCTGGTATCAAATGACCCAAAGGGGAAAAACTGTCTGTTTGATTACAATAATAATACCTTTTAACAATTGGATTTACTTAGATAGATGTTAATTGATCCACTTATAACCTTCTGCAAAAAGAGTTTCTGAATGTTACACAAGAGCCAGGGAGCTGCAGGCAAGAAATGAAACTAAGGGTTATGAACTGCCAAATTCTATTAAAGGGAAACTCCATTGCAAAAAAGGTCTCAGTCAGTGCTGAACACTAAAAATAATTATGCAAAGTTTAATTGTGGATAGTGGTGTGGACCATCTCTTTATTGTGTAGTTTTAGTTTTAACATGAGAAGGAGAATATAGGTGGTCTGAAAAAGTTAAGATCTGTTGTAGATGAGAAGTTTGAGTTTGTTCCTTATTTTTCATTGTTCTCTTGCTTTCCTTTGGGCTGATATCTGGAGGGTGTGCATGGTTATGCAATCAATACTTTAGAAACTTGAAGGAAAGAAGTTTTGGTGTCCAATAATCTTTCACGAAAAACAAATGGCTGATGCACTGAAATTCAGCAACTGCTACGTCCCCAGCCTTGAGTAAGGTGATAAATATACTAATTAGACAGCTATTCACTAAAGCTGTGCAGTACTTTTAATCTAAGATACACAGGTTTTTTGATATTTTTCCCTCCAGCTTTCTGTCTTATGGAACTGTTTATCAGGAATCACTCCAAGCACAAGAAAACGTAATCACCATTAACTGCTAGAATTTATATTGGTCAGGAGGCATATCCGTATAGCACAGAAACGTAGCTAGATGATGAACACACTCTTACATGAGAGAAAAGCAGCTTCTGTGTGTATTGGGTTGACTAGGCTCCAGTATAATTCCCAGAGTTTTTCTTAGGCATAAATATTATGTATGGCTAAGAAAAAAATTGCAAGGGAGCTCAAACCATTGCATTACATATGTCTATAATTCTAAGTAGTATGAGCCACAGCTGTTGCAAATCTGACAGAAGAAGTTACATGGAGATGGAGTATTTTTCACCTGTTCATAGCATAGTCATGCTCAGGTCTTAATGGATAATATTTTTTGTGTACTTTCTCATGTAAAGTAAAAACCTCAAGCACACAAAATTGAATTAGATGTTCATTACAGCACATCTGGTGTTGCACTCACAATATATATAGTATGGCTGAAATACCATAGTTCAGAAAGTTTATCATCCCTGTACTAATTTTATAGTTTATGATGCCTGTTTCTGAACCTCCACTTCTTCATGTTAGATCAGGCTTCTAGTTTTTCTAAACAGGCTTCATGTTAGATCATGTTTTAAAATTGTGGTTAGTAGAGAATGTGCTGGGTTCCCAAAGAAGGCAGCAGCAGTGCTATGCACATGAGCAGCAGCAGAGTGGGGAAAGGTATGTTCCCACTTTAAAACATCTCAGACTCTCCAATAGCTACTTCCCCACTGATTAAGTCCTTGAAAATGGCTAATAACAGTTGTTACAGGAGACACTTGCAACACTGTCATGTGCTAGAGGTCTGACCTGTATCCTTGTGTTACTTGAGCTTGATGGGAATGTGGTGATGCTAACAATATATCCGGTGTGTTGACAGACAGAAAAGATGATAATTTGGTTTGCAAATTACTATAACTAGGGATTAAATCAGCATTGGAAACTGCTAAGCCAGTGCTTTGTTACACACTCAGACTGCATGAGAACAGGAGGACCACAATGGGCTGTAAAAAAAAAATCTGCATGATATTGTACCAAGCAATGCTAGTCATATATTTTGTGTGGTGTCTGTACAATTATAAACAACTTCTAGCAGTGATCTTACTAGTAGCTTCTTCAGAATAAGAAAAAAAAAAAAGAATAGGCAGGTATTGGCTAAAGTGTTTAGAAAATAATTGCCCCATGGCCATGCTTTTCCAGACTATTGACTTACTTATTTTGATAAAACAGATTATTCTTTTTGGTGGAATACTTTCAGAGAAGTACTGCTCCACTGCAGCTGATGGCAAAATTCTCACTAGCTTCAGTGAAATCAGGATTTAAGGTTAAGCCACATAAACCAGCACTCATTCACTTCCCTACAACAATTGAGCATTTGAAAACCAAACTACCTGAGGGTCCCTTACTAAGGCTACGGAAGGGTGATTTCCATTGTAACTAAAAATTTAGGTCTCAAGCTCCAGTGTCTTGTTTTATACCAAACAGTCCTATTTTGGTGTAGTCAAGAATTACAGTACACACACATTTATATCTTTTAGTATCTTTAATTGGAATCTCTAAAAATAGTCTAATTTGAAGTTATTTCTTTAAAATGATTTGTTAAAATATTTTATTCTAACTATACAGTTTTAATGTGATCTTCATTGATGTGTTTGCTCATTATTGATGATGTTCATTATTGGCATTTGGAGATTTGGTGGGAAGTCTGTAAATTCTACTGTTCTTCAGTTCGGTATCAGCAGTAGGCTCACTGTACCTTCTTGAAGACCTGCTTACACTTGATTCCACACACTCTTATTTCCTAGGAAGAGAAAATAATTTAAAAATATAATTTTCACATAGGACACATGTATTATACATTCATGTGAATGTCCAGTTTGATTTGAATCCACAATTTTCTATCAAGTTAGATTGGGTAGCTTGTACATATTTTAGCCAACATTTAATCCTATAAGAAACCAGCTGTTTTGGGTTTGTCTTCTGGTGAAAGGTGGAGTAAGATAAGCTATTTTGGGATCTCAGATTTTTAAGGGCCAAGTATGTTCCTGGTGTGTTAGTCTATGTTTGCAGTGTAAACAACTGTTGAGGTCTTTGGAATGGTAATTCTTTATTTTGGACCCATAAAACAGTTATTTGGGAATGGATTTGAATAACCAGTTCTGAATCTGTATGTGGATGACTGGTAGTTCCAACCAGCAACACCAGCAATTAGCTGAAAATCCACTCTAGCAATACAATGATAATGGCTAGAAAAAGAAAGGTAGTTGTGTACTGATGATTTGATCTAGGTCTGATAAATCACAGCACAGAAGTGAGTTTTCACAGAATTTGACCATACTGGCTGCCTAATGGTGTCTACTGTTCCTTTGTCTTCCAAAGGAGCTTTTCAAAAGTCCCTTCTTGCTAGTCATTGGATCATCATGAACTGGACATAAGCAGGTGCAATGATGTCTACAGCTTGGGCACTGATTTGTGAAGTCTACTGGTTTTTACCAGTAGTTCAATCTTCTCCATTACTGGATCTACTGAAGTTAGACCTGAAAAGTGCACACAGTATGTCTGGGGATGAGTGGAGGTGCTGACCATTTTTGGTGGAAGAAGAAAAAAGTTTGGAACTTCTTAAGGGACATAAAGATGAAGGTTATGCATGACCTAGCAGAGGGGATGTACTTTACATTTCAAGACAAGACTTAAAATAAAGCTCTCAGAAAATTTTGAGGAAAAGAAGAGGTAGAGTTTCCTGGGACATGATGCACACTTTCTCATGGGGGACTTTGATAAAATAATATATTAAAAAACCTACAGCGAGTCAATGACCTTATTGGCATACATTGCTAGTCCCTAGTAAGAGAAAGTGCTTCATGTTGAATTTATGCAACAAGCAGAATGATACACTGATTTTAGTTAGGTCTTTTTTTGTTCACTTCTATATAGGTAGCCCTGAAGAAAGCGTGTGCAATAAGGGCTAAGAGATGTGCTGGCAGTGACAAAAACTTACAGAGCAGAAGCAATCAATACAATAAAAGAGGCAATAAAACTCAGAAGGAAATGGAGAATGGTCAAATACGTCACTCATATAAAATAGAATCTAAGGAGGAAAAAGAACTACCAAGTACAGACCACAGAATGAAATGGAGAAAATAGAAGGTGATAAACTACTAAAGGATGTGGTACTACTCTCTACAGAACTGTGGAAAGAATTAAATTAACACTTGGCTCATTGTGTAAAGTTCAATAGGATCATAAAGCTATCGAAGTATCCATTTTCTACAGGTAACTGCCCATTGTATCAGAGGACTCTCAAGCTTGCAGGGCCTAGTAATCTTAACTGGCCAAAAATAAGATATTAATGGGACTCTTTTACTGTATGTTTAATGGAAAGAGTTACATTAAGAAGGATTCAGAGAAATAAAGGGGACACCTTTTTAAGTTCATTAAATACTAAAAGTGATAAAACTGAAATACTGGGAACTGGCCTGTGAAATACTTGGTTACTTCCTCTGTATTAAGTAGTTTCGTACTGACTGTTGTGACCATGAGAAACAGATGGTGATAAACTGTACAAGTGCCAACAAGTGCATGGATGCCTGCATAAACTGGCAGATATGACACAAAACTCTTCACGGCCTCGTGAAAAAGCAGCCTCAGATAAGTCAGGTAACTTTGGGGTACCTAAAAGTGGCACCAGACACATGTTTGAGCAACTGAATCAGAATTTATGACTTTTAATATCAGACTCTTGTCAAGTATAGAATGTGGTCTGGACTGGAGGTCCATGGCTAGTTTGCATGACTAGAGCATCAATCAGAGCAAGGATGACAGAAATTGGGGCTAAACAAATTGGTTTTTGGGACAGGAAATGGGAAGAGATGACTGTGAAGCTGGCAAGAGACAGAAACCAGGATGCCAATACAGAGAAATTAAAGAGCAACTAGTGCTATTGCTTCATGTGCAGATGAATGCACAAATATATTTAAGTGCAGCAAGATGCAAGTTGAACTTCTGGGCTAGACACTGTATGGTTAATTGCAACGTGTTTGCTAGCAGAGAACCTGAAAGAGCTGATGCTTGGTGTCATGGCACCAGCTGTCATGAAGCTGGGAGGCAGTATGGAAATACTGTCATGTGTTTGTGTATAGATAGAGGAAATATGCATACATAGGAAATTCTGGATTCTCCTTTTTATTGCTTCCTCCCTACTTTCAGTGAGCCCATGACCTCAGCTATAAAGGGATCGCTTACACAGTAACTTTTTCCCTACCTGCATTATATCAAGCATGTAGTCCAGATGGTAAGATCTGTCATATACATTCCCTTCCCAAACTGGTTTCTGGAATTTCCAGTACTTCTGGAAAACTGTGTTTAGTAACAAGGTGTTTGGGGTACTTTTGCAAAGATTTCATAACTCTGCTATTGATTTGAATATTTAGAGAACATCCATTTAGACTGCTGAATGCTAATTGTACCGAACAGTGAAGAGAAATGGAGATTGGATTTTTTTTTCTCAGCAGGA